TTCAAAAACCTGGTTTAGTAAATATCCTAAAATGGGATTTATAATATAAAGTAAATGTTAGATACTACAAAATAGAAATAATGAGTGTAGGGGATCCCTGGATGGCTCAGCGGTTTGGTGCCTGCCTTCTGCCCAGGATGTGTCTTGGAGTCCTGGGATCGAGTCCCACGTCGGGCTCCTTGCATGGAGCCTGCTTCTCTCTCTGCCTATGTCTCTGTCTCTCTCTCTCTCTCTCTCTGTGTGTGTGTCTCTCATGAATAAATAAATAAAATCTTTAAAAAAAAAAGAAATAATGAGTGTATATGAGTGTTGGGATTACTTATGACCTCTAAAATTGGTTGTTTGTTTTAATTCTTTATAATGTGCACACAGTAGCTGCAAAACAATAACTATATATGTGAATACACATATATTTAGTTTATGATATATTGTGGCTGAGAATCCACATATAAAGAACAGACAGTTGCCTGATTAATAAATAATATGGTTAACAAACAATATTTTCATCTGAATTATGAAGAGAAATTCTGACACTAATCAGATTTAAGTGATAATTGTCAATTACCCCTTAACTTTGTATTGAGCAGTGAGGTTAAGGGAGTTTCTAGAGAGTTTTCTAGTCTCTTGAAAAAATTCTGTAATGAGATGTATGATGAGGTGATGGTTCTAGGTGAGGAGTTTTGAGATTATAAGTTCCTTAAATATAAAGTAAAAGTTAAAGCTTTATCTCTGATGCCAGAGCTTCACCCATATAGATATGAATTAAGTAACTATGACTTTGGTGTGTTTCTAGAGCAGTGGTTCTCGATAGGGGCGATTTTGCCCCCAAGCATTTGGCAATGCTTGCGGACATTTTTAGTTGCCAGAACTGGGGAGAGATGGCTGTGCTACTGGTGTTTCATGAGTAGAGGCCATGCAGCCTGGTGAACCTTGTACAAAATATAGGACAGGTTCCCCCCATCCCCAACAAAGAATTTTCTGACCCTGAATGTCCGTAGAAATGAGGCTGAGGCACACTGTGTGGAATAATCGTAAATAGTTTGATCTCAGTAGCTGTGTTGGTCCTTAGCTTTAAAAACCTCCCTTAGGAGTTGTTATGAGTCTGTCTGTCAATAACAGGAGCACTCACCAGAGCCCAGCTCCAGGCTTATACATGAAATTTGAAGTTGAAAATAAATATGGAGTGGTTGGGTTGGGAAATGAAGTTAGTACAAAATTATAGCCTACTGGACTTGGGAGAAGAAAGACAGAATATGTATTTTAAGAATACATAGGATAGTTCATTTTAGCACAACTTTTGCCCTTTTTTTCTTGGAAGAGGAACTTAAGAAGGTCTTTTCATTGTCAACCAACGTGCTTTTAATCACTGTGAATAAGAGTATGTGTGACCTGAGTTGAAAGTGCCAGGATTGGAGGCACATGGGTTGCGCAGGACACTGGGTTGGGCAGTGGTGGGGTGCTGCACAGCTGGGGAGTTGCTGTCTGTTTAGGAATTTCAGCCTTGGATCCCTTACAACAGCCACTTTGCTCACCTTTTTTTGTAGGGTGGCAGAAAGGCTCTGATAGATTTTTCCATTTTTATGTGAAAAAGCCAGTTGCCCTCAGATCCTATTTGTGTTTTGAAACTCGGTCTGGTCTGTCTGTGAGCTTTCTGTGTGAGCTTTTTAGCTCAGGGACCCTGTGCGCTTCCCTAACCAAGCATTTTCTGAGCTTTCTATCTTGTACAGGAGAGATCAAGAGAAATATAAACCGGTCAAATTAGGAAGAAACAAAGTGAAGAAAAATGAAAGGGTAGATATGAGGCAGCAATGAAATTAAATCCTGCCACCCAGGTTTTAAATTGCTAAATGTAGAGCTAGAGATAAAGATAGATAACAGAGATAATCAAGAAAAATTCCTTTTAACATTATCTACAATTTTTTAAAAATCCTCACTTAGAGTCTACAAAAAGAAAGGCCTCGGACTGCATTTCATCTGTATTTTGTCACAAAGGGCCAACTGGTTCAAAACAAAAAGGAGAGGGAATCATCTCAGGATTTAGATATGTTCACTTTCATGTTCTGCAAAATCTTTTATTGAATAACAGAAATGCAGACCTCTGATATTATCTTCACATATATTATTTATACAGTAGAAAATGCCAGACCCTAAACTCATGTCCAAAAGCAGACTTTATGTTGTACTTAAATCTGATTGGGCTTAAAAGGGTTGAAGCTTTACATTTAAGAAAAGAGTAATCATGATAAGAGGGTAGAAGAATGCTCTCTAAAATTTTAAAGGATTTTTCCAAAGGATATCCTTATCTACATAACTGGTTGACAAAAGAATATTTTATTCAATGTCAAGATATTTAAACTATCGAAAGAGAAGAATTAAAAGACTATCCCCTCAGCTTAAGCTGGGTTCAGATACAGAGCTCAGGGGAAAAAAAAAAAGTTTTATTTCATGTTTAATGTTCAACAGAACTTCAATTTTTGCGTATTAAAAGATCTTCTGAGGTAAGGATAAACTTGCCATAGAACATATATCAGTTTCTAGATCTTATATGTAGTTAAAAAAATTAGCATGTTGAGATCCAAGTGCCAGAATGATATACTCACACGAATGGTCTTTTAAAAACATTACATGACACCTAAAGATCAACCAGCCTTCAAACCTCACCAAGCTTTGATGGTCACTGCATACAGTTTTTAGGAACTCAGTATTTATATGAGTAAAATTTAGTATACACCTTATGATGCTGCGGAAAGGGCTGGCTGCCCTTTATGTTTATAATCCTGCCCATTATGTTTTTCCGCCTTGCCATTTTAAGAGATACCCTACCCTGTTCTCGGGTCTCAACGCTCACAGCGCCTCTGGAAGGAAAGTGAATACGCATGATGATGATCCATCCTTTTGGTTCCCTAGGATATTTACTTAGAACACTGGCACCCTAGTATTGCCCATGTGAATGTGCACCGGACAGAGTATTTGGGTCATTAGAAAGCAGAGGAGGGAGACTGACAGAGTGAGTGGCCGGGGTGGAGCAAACCGCTGCCCAAAGCGACAGCTAGAGAGAGCTCGCGACAGCGCTGGGCTCGGGGTGCGCGCACCGGGGAGCTGGCCTCGGCGCAGCCTCCTGCTCCCGCAGCTCGGGTGGGAGTGTGGGGTGGAGCGGGCAGGGTCCTCGGGTAAAACGAGACCTTTGCCCACAGCATCGCTCGGCGCGAGTGGAGATCGAGGAGACCCCCGATTTCCCCAGCGCGTCTGCTGCTTTCCGTTCTCGGAACTCCGAGAGCCGACGCTAAGGGGCACCAGAGGCTCGGACTGCAGCGGCTGCCTCCTGGGCACCCCGGTAGCCCGCTCTGCGGAAGTCCTAGCGGCAGCGCAGCCCCACTCAGTGGGGGCTGGGGTGCAGGCCGTCGGAGTGGGGGTCACGGGAGGTTGGGATGCTCCAGATGGGAGGAAGAATACTCCGCGGTCAAGACGTCGAGCCCGGAGCAGAGAGCAAGGCTGTGACACCCCCCCCCCCGCCTCCCGCCCCACGGCCGAGGTCTTCTTAACGGTTTTCCCCTAAGAATGTGAGGTTGCTCCCAGTCTCCTATTACTTTGGGATGCGAACTGTGTGGCTGTCATACATACAGCCACAACTGTAGACAGAGATGCACACTGCGCGCACACCATCTCTTCCAAACGCTGAAATCATTTGACAAAATAATTCAACACACTGGCAGCTGTCGATCTGCAGTTCCCTGGGGATCCCTAGGCACACGCAGAGACCAAATGTCACGTCCTCTCCTCCCTAGCCAGTTCGTGTTCACTCCCCCGTGCCCCGTCCTTTCCTGCGAAGTCCATCATTCCTTAGTTAGGAGAAGGCAGTACAGACCCTCGCCCCGCTGGAAGCCTCTAACCGCCCTCCTGCAGCTCGGACTTTTTCCGGAGGCAGAGTGGGAGCCCGAGATGCTGTAGGCGTTAGCCAGCATCCTCAGCCGTGCGGTCCGCATGCTGACTTTGATCAGTGGTGACAGAAAAGAGAAAAACCGAAAGGTGGGGAGGGCGCCGGGCGCGCCGAAGCCCAGGCGGGGCCGCGGGCACAGCGGCCCCCTCCGCGGCGGCCCCCTCCGCGGCGGCCCGCGTGCGTCCTCTCCCTCCTGCTGCGCGCGGGGCCCAGCCCGGTGCCACTGCGCCAGGATGGAGAGGTTTCGGCGCGGGAGGAGATGACGCAAAAGCCAGTGCTCCCCCCAAAAAAGTGTTTCTCCAGGACGAAGATGGCGGCAACTTAGCCGGGGACTGAAGATGACTGTGGCTCTCGGGAGGCCCAGCCCAGGCGATTCGGCCCCGAGGTCCGGGGGAGGCGGCGTCAGCAGTCGGAGCCCGGCGGCGCCCGCGGGCAGACCTGCGGCAGCGGCGGCGGCGGCGGCGGCGGCGGCGGCGGCGGCGGCTGCTAGAGCGCGGGGTGGGGGGTGGGGGGGAGGGAGAGCCCTGCCGGCGGCGGCTGCCCAGGCTCCGGACTCGGGGAGCGCAAGCGAGAAGTAGGAGCAGGCGGAGGAGAGAGAAAGGAGAAGGAAAGGAAGGAGGAGGAAGAGGAGAAGGAGGAGGAGGAGGAGGAGGAGGAGGAGAGGAGCTGGGGAGGCGCTCCGGTCGCCGTCAGTGGGCAGCGGAGACGCGGCATGCCCCTGGCAGGGGAGAGCGGGCTGTCCTCAGCAGGGCCATGGGGACCCGCGCTGTGACAATGCCTGGGTGAGAGGAGCAGCGCCAGCCACCCCGCCACCTCCACCAGCATCACCTCCTGCACTCAGCTCACCACCGGCCACCAGCCCCAGCCGCCTCCGGCTGCCTCTCCTTCTCTCTCTCTCTCTCTCTCTCTCTCTCTCTCTCTCCATTATTGTTTTCTACTCTACAGAGGATGGGGTCGGCTTATGATTAGGTCGGGAGCAAGTCAGATCTTCCTCCAAAGCTGGTAATATTTATGTAGGCAAAAAGAGAGAGAACAGAGGGAGAGAGAGAGAGAGAGAGAGAGAGAGAGAGAGAGAGAGAGAAAGAACACGAACCGGGAGGAGGGGATAAGGAAATTAAACCCTTTAAGTCAATGCATATTGTGGTGACAGCGGCACAGGAGCCCTCACGGTGGAGTCGGCCAGGGCTGTGCGTTCCCAAAATATGACCAGGGGTGCTTGGATGTGTCGGCAGTATGACGACGGCTTAAAAATCTGGTTGGCAGCACCCCGGGAGAACGAGAAACCGTTCATCGATTCAGAGAGGGCTCAGAAATGGCGACTGTCTCTGGCATCTCTCTTGTTTTTCACAGTCCTGCTCTCTGATCACTTGTGGTTCTGCGCCGAGGCCAAGCTGACCCGGACCCGGGACAAGGAGCAGCAGCAGCAGCAGCAGCAGCAGCAGCAGCGACAGCAGCAGCGACAGCAGCAGCGGCGGCAGCGGCAGCAGGAGCCCTCCTGGCCCGCGCTCCTGGCGAGCATGGGGGAGTCCTCGCCCGCCGCCCAGGCACACAGACTCCTCTCCGCCTCCTCGTCCCCCACCCTGCCCCCCTCCCCGGGAGACGGCGGCGGCGGCAAGGGCAACCGAGGCAAAAACAACCGGAGCAAGGCTCTTTTTCTAGGAAACTCTGCCAAGCCCGTGTGGCGCCTGGAGACTTGTTACCCCCAGGGCGCCTCCTCGGGCCAGTGCTTCACCGTGGAGAGCGCGGACGCGGTGTGCGCCAGGAACTGGAGTCGGGGGGTGGCGGCCGCGGGGGAGGAGCAGCAGGTGAGGGGGACGCATCCAACTCCGCTCTGGAACTTGTCGGATTTTTACCTTTCGTTTTGTAATTCCTACACACTTTGGGAGTTGTTCTCGGGGTTGTCCAGTCCCAACACTTTGAACTGTAGTCTGGATGTGGTGCTCAAGGAGGGCGGCGAGATGACCACTTGCAGGCAGTGCGTCGAGGCTTACCAAGACTACGACCACCACGCTCAGGAGAAATACGAAGAGTTTGAGAGTGTGCTCCATAAATATTTACAGTCGGAGGAGTACTCGGTGAAATCGTGTCCTGAGGACTGTAAGGTAGGAACAGTGGATTCTCTCCCCTCTCCCATCTTGCGTTTTTCTGTCTTGTGTGCGTTTGGCCAAGATGTCTTCTGGAGTTTTAAAAAAAAAAAATATTATTATTATTATTATTTTTTTTTTTTTGACGCTGGTTTTGTTACTTCAGTTGTTTTTGTGGTTATAAGGGCCTGACTTGCTGCTTGAGTTGGGAATGCCTCCAGGATTGCTTGTGGACTGGTGCCTTCTTCTGGGAATCCTTGGAAGCTCAGGGAAGACCCTGGTGTTCTGAGCTCATAAAGCTGTTGCTTAACTATCTCTTACAGCTATGCAATTGGTTCAAACTCTGTTCCCATTAAAAAAAAAAATGGAATTTGGATGCAGCTTGCTAGGAAGACAGACATGGGACTGCATACTGATGACCCCAGATAAAACCAGACTCAGTGACAGGCGTGTATGGTTTGGCTTATGGACCTGTACACATGATTTCTCTGATAGTGGCATTATTAAATTGGTTCACCAGAGGGACAATAGAAAGTGTTTGTAGTTGTTTATGCAGGAAGATGAAAAAGCGTTTTACCTGTTTTTACAGGGGCAGTTCTGGTTGTTTGGAAAGTGTGGAGGCCTACCTAAGCATATTTATTCACCAGAAGTTTCTGGTGTTCTCTTAGACATTTGTATAATAATTGACCGGAGACTCACTACAAGTAGAAAGTTTTAATTAAGTATCTGGTGATCGAAGATGAGTGTTAGCTTATTTATCAGACATCTTATGTAATTAGCTTTAGTTTTCAGGATGCTCTTCAGAAAGGCTGAATGGCAAGTGCTAGATGCTGTGAGTGAAATATACCGAACTCTTTAATAATGTGTATTATATTCGACCTCTTCCTGCTGAATACAATAAAGGGTATAATCCTTGCTGATTGACAAAGGAGAAGAGAATCCAAGTTTCTCAAGAAACGTCAATGTAATCCTGGGTGCATGTGCTAATAGGAGTGTTCCTGTCCATGGTGCTGAAATGAGATTTGCCTGAGATCTGTTGAAGATGAAGATACTGCAGTGACCTTTTAGTAGGAAAGAAATGATGACAGAGTCTCAGTAAGCCTTTATGTTTCATTCCAAGGGTAATTTCTTAAACAACACAATAAAATAGTATTGCTTTTCAAAAGAAATAATACACCACATTCTCTTCCTTTCTCTTCACTACTCCCCCACACAGGAACAGGACAACTGTCTCTCTTCTGCCTCACTTTGTATTGGGGAAATGTAGTGAAGGGCAATATGGATCAAAGGTTTGAGATACTTTGATAAGAGAACTGTTTAAAATGAACATAGTTCAAGAGCTGTATTTTACTTTGGTTTGATCACTTGTGCTTTTGACAATTAAGCTAAACTCAAACTAAACTTGCTATGTCAACATCCTTTAAAAGACCAGAAACATATCTTCTTTGCACATAGTAATACTGAGTTTACAACATTAATTTGGAATGCTACTTCACTAGATAAACGGATCTTAAACTTTCTACCTATTTTTCTTAACCATACCACAGTAACTCATGCCTGGAGATCAAAGTTATTCTTCATGGCAGAAGTTAATGACTAATGTTTATTGCATAGTTGTTTATGTTGACAAGATATGTTGCATCAGAATTGTAAAGATAAGGACACTAATTCCACTACTAATAAAAAAGGATACAAGGGCTTCAGTATAGTTATGTTTAAAAGTGGTACCTTGTAATAATATGAATTTGCTTGCTTCTCTGAATGCAAACTTTTATAGAAATTTCTATTAATTCCAATTTGTATAGATTCAGTATTTAAAAGATAGTCTCCATTGCCAATAGACTGCACCATATTTTCAAATAAACATGTCTAATATATCTTTGTTCAAATGCCCAGATTTTAAATATATATTAATGTTTATTTTCACCTTGACCTGAAATAAATCTCAACTTGATATTTATATTATCATAGCTGTAAGGTATAGTGTAGGTTAAACTAATTTATCATATTATAAACTACTTCTGTATTGTGTTTCTTTATAAAAGAATCATCATCACCTGTACACACAAAGGCATATTATAAAAATATTAATTCCTTTTTAGCAAGATTTCTTCCTCACATAGAAAATTAAATACAGACATTAAAAAAAATAAATACAGACATTTGAATTTTTCATTGCCATAACACAGAATTTATTACCCATGATGTCTTGTAGCCATTTCTTGGTTGTGTGATTTTGGCTGATTTGTCAATTTGACACTTATTCCATAATAACTGTTTTCAAAAATTACAGTTTCAAATTTAAGGTGTCAGTGTTTTTGGCTAATAACTCATAAGTTGAGAATTTGGTTCCTTAGTTTAATGTATGATGTCTTTATGATTCTCCAAAAGTCACAAACATATCCACATACAAATTACACTACACGGCTAAAAATGCTACTTGTACACATTTGAAGGATGTGTCTGAGTTCTTTCTAAATACAGTTATTTCAAACATACTTACATTTATTAAAAGAAGATTATCATCAGGGACCTTGTCAAAATATACATTCTACGCAAAATTTTCCATGTTTTATGGTAGCCACAAAGTCCTAGGTTACATTAAAAGTAAATGCATTATATTTCTCGCATTGGTAATATATTCATGAAAAAGATGCAATTTTGATACTTTATAAGCATATTTTAGAACTAAAGGTAGAATATATTTAATCATATTAGCTATACAAATTGTTATAATTCATATTCTAGGAGAAATATATTAACTTTATCATACCCATATATAATTGAATGACTAAAGCAGTGATTTCTAAGTTTTAAAACTTAGGGCATGTATTATTACCTTCTAGTTTTATAATCTTCACTTCATTAAGATAAATGACACATGGCGTATATGTATAAAATTAGAATAGATCAAATTTAATTTTTATTTAACTTTCTTGAAAAGCTTTTTGGCCCATTATGCAAAAAAACAAAACAAAACAAAACAACAACAAAAAACAAACAAACAAAAAAAACCCTTAATGTTGGTCTAATACAATCATAATGTCTTGATTGAGTCCAAAGTAATTAAAGATAAAACACAGCTTACATTTACATTAGCAAGCGTTTGTATTGCAACATATAATAGAAAAAATTGGTATCCAAGAATATTTCCTAATATTCTGAAAAATAACTGGTTTATTATTTTTTTGAAGAAAATACACACATTTGTCTAGGAAGTAATTTATAAAAATATAAAGAACAAAACCCACTGCATATATCATTTATATTATAGCATTCAAACTGCTGTACTAAATAAATCAGGTAGCAAAAATTATGACAGTAATTTTTCTCTGTAGTTTGTAGTGTTCAAAATAATGTTTTTGATATTCTTCTTTAAGAAGAACCTAACAAATCTCTAAAAACCTTCAAGTTGGGTGGTGGTATTAAAAAATACAGTATTCTAAGTTACAAAATTACATATGCATGTTTTTAATTTGCTGAATTTTTTTATCTAAATAAAAATCTTCTGTTAAATATGCCGTTCTTTAGCCCCTAAGTGTTCTTGAAGATGTATATTATAAAAACTTGTGATACTTAGGAAATATAAATTTCTGGGTGAACAGGTGAACTTTTGTTACTGCTAACTTTATTTACTTAGTATACCTTAATACAGATTGTCAGTGAAAGCAGGTTTGAGATTAGATTCTAACATAAATCATTAAATCCTCTGTATTTTAGTTCTGTCAGCACATAGTCTAATCTTTATACTCTCACGAATATAAGCATTCTCATATTTTTATTTCTATGATCTCATATTAAAGCAGATTTTATTGCCTATTTTTATTTAACAATCACTGACCAAAAAGGTAACCCTGCCAGGGTTAAGCATATATGACAGTTGTGATACCTGAAGCTTTCTGCATTGTTTGCAAGAACCACTCACAAACCAGTAACCAGTTTGGTAACGGAATTTAGGTTACATAATGTGCAGTTTGGAAAAAAGGCATTTCTTAAGTTCTTATTTATTTTGGTGTCGTGCACTATAGATTCTTAAAAAATAGTTTTTTAAAAAGAAAATCAAATATCTAACAATTCTTTCCACTAAAATATTATTTTGCTGTTAAGTGCTATGGTATGTATTAGGACACTGTTCAAAAGTGTAGAATACGTCTACAAATACAACTCTTTTATATTTAACCACTTTATTATTTTCAAATCTGTTAAATCAAACAGCCTAACCATGCAGATGATCACTTTAACCATTAATAAGGCCATTTATAAGGTCAAAGCCACTACCATAATCATTTTTATGACCCAGATTTTTTATTATATTTTTGCTCCACATACAACTACTGATTTATGATCTGTGTTTTATTTTTTTAAGGAAACAACCCAAATTTTATCTTAATGTTGTTTTATAGACTAAAGAATGAATATTTTTACTTTGAACTTATAACTGGGTCAAATTGACAGCTATATAGGGCATAACCACAAAGTTTCAGTAATTGCTGTTTTACACTCGTTTAATCACTTTAATTAGATGAAGATGATGTCTGCATATGCAAGGTGAATTAAAATATGAAGGAAAGGGGATCAAACAACACTTTGACTCTCAGGCTCCCCCATATATAGATCATAATACATTAAGATATATTTTCTTGCTAAATTGAATATGCAAGAACAAATATACAGATAGCTATTTCAAAGAAGAAAACATTTTGGTTTGTATTATCTGACCTATTGCTTAATTTCAATTCTTAGTTGCCTGTTTAAATCTTCATCTTCTATATCAAAAACACATTAATTCAGCACCAAACATTTTTTGTCATTTATTTTATATTGATTTATACTGCAAGATGTTTCTTCAATATCAGTAAACATTTAGTCTAGATCAATAGTCCATGGGGTCACATTGGCATATCCTGGGGGACTCTTTGAAGAAACTCCTAGTCCCAAAAGAGATTCTAAGGAATTTCATTGGTTTGGCTTGTGTTATTGGCTTGGGATCTCCAGTTTCCCTGGTGACTCTCGTGTGT